CTCGTTATGTAATATTTTAAATTCCCCACTTATTCCATTCTTCCTAGGTCCAAATACCTTCCCAAGCAACTTGTTTCCAAATATTTGTAATTTAAGTTATTCCTTCAAGGCAAGAGAATATGTTTCACAACCATACAAGACAAGGGGAAAAATTATTGTTTTATATACTTGATCCTTAGTTTATCAAATCTAAAACTTCTTGACGATGGTGAAGAGTCAATTGAATAAAAATTTCCTTGGATATTATCCATCGTCTAGTAAATATAAAACGTAAAACGATGTTTCTGAGATGAGACTCTATCTCCGTCTTCAGGTTCCTACACAGTTGGGCCCACTAGATAGAGCTAATCCCTATCTCCGGACCGGAGCTCTATCTAGTGGGCCCAACTGAGTAGGAACCTGAAGACAGAGATAGAGTCCCATCTCCGAAACGTCGTTTTACGTTTTATATTTACTAGACGATGGATAATATCCAAGAAAAATTTTATTAAATTGGTATCTGGGCATCTTTAACACAACACGCAAACAAGTTGATAACTCGATGACCGTCTTCAGGGATACTGCGCTGTCTCGCAGACACTTACTGACGTTTCGGAGGTCCACCATCTCTCTGATAGTGGAAGCAGTAAGCATCTCTGAAACGTCGGCCGATTTCTACCACACCACACGGCGCAAAATTCAAGATAACAGCAGTCTATGTATTCGTCGCCGTCAGAACCTAAAATCTCTAGTTACTAACCGTTATATATGAGTTTCATTTCAAAAGGATTTCTTACGAACTTCAGTTTCAAATACGAATTTCATTTGTTTTTGTTGATAGTGCATGAAAAATACGAGATTATCAGATTTTCAAGACTTATGTCTTAATCCGGCTTAGCAAGTATTCTGCAATCCAACAGTGATTCATTGGCTGGTTACGAAATTACTCAACACTATTTCAACTACAGACAAGGGTCTGTTTACTTATTTATTTATTTATTTATTTGTGGTTTACTTAACGATCCTGTCAGTAGAGCAGACTAAATATACAGCGTAGGATGACAGAATGATTAATGATTAATAAATTGGAAAGGATTTGGAAAAAAAAAGGTCATCGTCTAATTTGAAGAACCGAGAGATGAATTTCAACGGAGGGACCAAGAAATATGACGAAAAATCTCGGTCAAATGGCCAGTTTCCGGAGGAGAGCCGAACCCAGGACCTCTCGAATATAAACGGTAAGAATCCGGGGCAGCGACGCTCGGTAATACACAGTGTCGAGATGGGAAGGCGATTATGAATGGTGATCACCGGAGCGCCGTCTCCAGGCATCCTTGGCTTCCATTCCACTGCCGTCAACGACGTTACTCCACGAAGGCGAGTTCTTCAGAGACTACCAGTCACTACCCCTTTATACAATTCGAAGGCCCATGTCCGTGTTCACAAAAGCCTTTCTTTGGATCTCACCTCAACATCACCTCCTAGCTCGACCATGCCCAATCATTTTCAATTTCGTTCTATTCGGAAGAACCACAGTTGCTTGATGTATGAATCAACCCTGAATCTGAAGATATCCGTCTTCTGGGTTATTGAGCTGTGTAGTCTGGTCGATGTTAACCAACGTTTCAGAGGTCATACTGCCTCCGTCATCAGGGCCCTGATGACGGAGGCAGTATGACCTCTGAAACGTTGGTTCACATCGACCAGACTACACAGCGCAACAACCCAGAAGACAGAAATCTTCATACTCTGATTACGGAGGCAGTATGACCTCCGAAACGTCGGTAAACTTCTACCAAACTACACAGCGCAACAACCCAGAAGACAGAAATCTTCATCGCCCTGATGACGGAGGCAGTATGACCTCTGAAACGTTGGTTAACATCGACCAGACTACACAGCGCAATAACCCAGAAGACGGAAGTCTTCATACTCACCGCTGTGAGAACCTCAAGTCTTACAACCCTGAATCTGCCCAGTATCTCTAGTTTCTGCATCACGAATCATGAGGAGGCACTGATAATGCAGTGATCTCCCTGGGCATTGGACGGTAATTCATCTTACTACGCGTTCCCGCACAAAATTTACATAATCAAGAGATCATACTGAACTGATTCTGATACTACCGGCTGCTGGTGAAATCATTAATATCATTTAATAACTCTTAATGTTTTTCACAGATATGAAGTTATCGTGTTCCATGATTTTTCTCTTGGCACTTCTGTTGGCTTTGCTGGTCGACTGTAACACCGGACCTCCGCACCGAAGAGTTCCTTTCAACGGCAGTATGTACGGAAAGCGAACTGCCAACAGCCTCTCAGTAGGTACGTGGACTCATACATACAGACACGTTCATGACATTCCATGGATCCATAAGTCAGTCAAATTACGATAAGATGTGGAATAAGTCATAATATGTACATTTACAATTCATTTCATTCGATGGCTTTGTTTTAAAAATTCTTTTATACACTAAGTAAGAGACCATCGTGCAAGAAGGTCGTAATGCTCATTCTGCTATAAGCAAAGATACGAACAGGAAGTTATATTTGGACGTATGAACGGAAATAATGCATATTTTTCAGTCTCAAGTGTATAGAAATTTGGGTCGCCCGTAAATCAGTCACTTTGTTGATAAAAGCCCTTCTGACATAACGTTAAAGTAACTGTGCATTAACGATTTAGATACACTGTTCTTATATCTAAGTTCTCACCTACATATGTGGCAGCATGATACAAAATAAGCATATCCCATAAACTTCTGAAAGTTTTATTTGAAGGATTTTTGGAACTGATTTAAACACGAAGACTAGAAAAACTATTTTGTGCATCATTTTAAATTATTTGACAATGATCTATTAGTATTATTATATTTTATTTGGATATTAACTAACAATAACAATTATAAAAAGTACAAAATCCAATACTTTTCGAAAACGTTTTCTTCAGAAAGTAACTAAAAATGTACTTACTACGTAGAGCTAAGACGGACAGAGCTATTTTCATTAGTAACCCCTTCCTTGTCGGTGGGCACTCAACTATTGTTCTTTTTAACAATCGATATGTATCGACACAGCCACGGTGGTCTAGCGGTTAGAACGCTGGCCTTGTAATCCTGGGGGTCTCGGGTTCGATTCCCGGCGGTGCCCGAATTTATAACTTGTGTTGGGCAAGGCCGT